TCAAATTTCATTCATGTGGAATTTAAAAAAAGCAAAAGAGGGCAGCCCGGGTGGCTCAGCGGTTTAGTGCCACCTTCAGCCTAGGGCCTGACCCTGGAGACCTGGGATCGAGTCCCACGTCGGGCTCCTGGCATGGGTCCTGCTTCTCCCTCTGCCTGTGTCTCTGCCTCTCTGCATCATGAACAAATAAATCTTTAAAAATAAAGAGCAAAATGTAAAAGCGAGAGAGAATTGAATCATCACAAGGCAGGCATCCTCAACAAGATTAATTAACTTGAAGCTAGCCATATGGAGAAATAAAGACTTAAAGGTAAATACATAGGCAATTATAAAAGGTCATATTGTACAATTAGCCTGTAACTACTTTTTGCTGTGTGATTTAAGAGACTAGTGCAAAGAAAACAACTATTAATGTAAAAGGTAGTTTCACTACCTTTAGTTTGTAACTCCAAATCTTGTTTTCTACATGATTTGGGAGACTAATGCGTTGTTCTGGGGCACACATTGTATAAAGATGTAATTATAGGGCAGCCCGGGTGGCTCAGCAGTTGGGCATCTGCCTTCAACTCAGTGCGTGATCACAGGGTCTGGGATCAAGCCCTGCATCAGGCTTCCTGCATGGAGCCTGCTTCTCCCTCTGCCTGTGTCTCTCATGAATAAAATCTTAAAAAAAAAAAAATTCCTAGAAACAGAATCACAAAGAAAGATTCGTATTAAATCAGTAATCAAAAATCACCTGACAAAAGTCCAGGCTTCACTGGTGAATTCTACGAAACATTTAAACATCTTTAATTTTAAGATTATTTGAGAAAGCACACGAGCAGGTCGAGCAGGGGGACAGACCGAGGGGGAGGGAAAAGCAGGCTCCCTGCTGAACAGGAAGCTCAATCCCAGGACTTAGGGATCATGACAAGTCACAGGCAGATGCTTAACCTATGAGCCACAGATGCCTCTACCAAACATTTAAAGAACTACTACAATACTTCTCAAACTTTTCCAAAAAATTGAAGAGGGGGGAATGCTTCCTAACTTATTCTATGAAGCTAGACAAAGATATTACAAGATAACTACAGACTGATATCCCTTTTGAACATGGATGTAAAAATCCTCAGCAAACTAGAAGCAAACAGAATTGAGCAGCATTTCAAAAGGATTACACACATAGGGACACCTGTGTGGCTCAGTAATTGGGCCTCTGCCTTTGGCTTGGAGTGTGATCCTAGAGTCCCAGGATCGTGTCCCACATCGGGCTCCCTGCATGGAGCCTGCTTCTCACTTTGCCTAATTCTCTGCCTCTCTCTGTCTCATGAATAAATAAAATCTAAAAAAAAAATTACCATATCCAAGTGAGATTTATTCTTGGAATGTCAGAATGATAGAGGTAATTAATATACCACATGAACAAAATGAAAAAAAAAAAACCCACATGATAATGCAGAGAAATCATCTGACAAAATTTAAGACCCTTTCATTATAAAAAACACTCAATAAAATAGGAAAAGAAGGAAACTACTTCCACCTAATAAAAACAGTATATGAAAAATCCACAGCAAACATAATACTGATGAAAGACTGACTTTCCTCTAAGATCAGGAACAAGACAAGGATACCCACTTTTACCACTTCTACTTAACACAGTAGTGGAAGTTGTAGTCCGAGCCATTCAGCAATAAAAATAAAAGGCATCCAAAATGGAAGAAAAGTAAAATTGTCAGATATCTTTTTTTTTTTAAGAATATTTATTTATTTATTTGTTTGAGACAGAGAGAGAGGCAGAGACACAGGAGGAGGGAGAAGCAGGCTCCATGCCAGGAGCCCAACGTGGGACTTGATCCTGGGACTCCAGGATCAGGCCCTGGGCCAAAGGCAGGCGCTAAACCGCTGAGCCACCCAGGGATCCCCAGATAATATCTTAATATATAGAAAATCCTGGAATCCACAAAGAAACTTGGAGTACATGAACTCAGCAAAGTAGCAGGATACAAAGTCAGTACACAAAAATCAAATGCATTTCTATATGCAAACAATCTGAAAAGGAAATTATAAAAACAATTATGTTTACAACAAAGTCAGAAAGAATAAAATACTTAGGAATTAACCGAGGAGGTGAAAGACTTGTACAATGAAAACTACAAAATGCTGCAAAGATGACACAAATAAATGGAAATATATCCTATGTTCATGGATTGGAACAAGATTATCAATACTACCCACAGTGATCCATGATTCAATACAATCCCTACCAAATCCCAGTGACTTTATTGCAGAAATAGAAAAACCCATCCTAAAATTGTTATGCAATCTCAAGGGACCTCAAATAGCCAAAACATTCTTGAAAAAGAAAAAACTAGAGGACTCACACTTCCTGATTTCAAAACCTACTACACCAAGCTTCAGTAATCAAAACAGTATGGAATGGGCATTAAGAACAGACTATAGAGGGCAGCCCCGGTGGCCCAGTGGCTTAGTGCCGCCTTCGGCCTGGGGTGTGATCCTAGAGACCTGGGATCAAGTCCCACATCAGGCTCCCTCTCTCTCCCTCTGCCTGTGTCTCTGCCTCTCTCTGTGTATGTCTCTCATGAATAAATAAAATCTTTGGGGAGAAAAAAAAAAGACTATAGACAGATGGAACAGAATAGAGAGCACAGAAGTAAACTCTTGCATATATGGGTCAAATGATTCGTGATAAGGGTGTCAATACCATTCAATAGAAAAAGAACAGTCTTTTCAACAAATGGTACGGGGGAAAACTGGATAATCACACCAAAAAGAACAAAATTGGACCCTTACCTAATATATATGTAAACTAACTCAAAATGGATCAAGGACCCAAAACAATAAAACTCCTGGAAGAAAACAGGACAAAAGCCTTAGGATGACGTTGGATTTGGCAATGATTTCTTTAATAGAACACCGAAGGCACATGCAACAAAAGAAAAACAAGTTGGACTTGATGAAAATTAAGTTTTTGTTCTGTTTTGGCTTTTTACATTAAGAGATGCTATCAACAGAATAAAAAGGCAATCCATGGGAGAAAATATTTCCAGGTCATCTATATGATGAATTAATATCCAGAACACAGGGAACTCCTAAAACTCAACAACAGGGCAGCCCCGGTGGCGCAGCGGTTTAGCGCCGCCTGCAGCCCAGGGCGTGATCCTGGAGTCCTGGGATTGAGTCCCACATAGGGCTCCCTGCATGGTGCCTGCTTTTCCCTCTGCCTGTGTCTCTATGAATGAATGAATAAATAAAATCTTAAAAAAATAATAAAAATAAAAAAACCTCAACAACAAAAACCAGATAACTCAATTCAAAAACAGCCAAAGGATTTGAACAGGCATTTTTCCAAAGATCTATGAATGGCCAATCAGCACATAAAAAGGCGCCTGACATCACTAATCATTAGGTAAATGCAAATCAATACCAAAATGAGATAGCACCTTACAACCATTAGATTAGGATGGTGATTATTGAGAAAAACCGAAAACAAGTGTTGGGGAAGGATGTGGGAAAATTGGAAACTTATACACTGTTGTAGGAATTAAAAATGATACAGCCTCTGTGGAATACAGTAGGTAGGCTCATTGAAAAATTAAAACTAGAATTACCATGAGCCAGAAATTCCACTTCTGAGTATATACCCAAAAGAACTGGAAACAGGGTCTCAAAGAAATATCTGCCCTATGTTCACAGCAGCATTATTCACAGTAGCTAAAACATGGAAGCAATCCAGTGATGGGGGAACACAGGGATAGCTGAGGACAAAGCACAAGCCTGGGGCAGCACATTGACAAGTCCTTGAAACAGACAGAGGGACATTCCTCTACTCTATGGACTCAAATGCCTCAATGTTAATACTTTGCTAAGAGCAAAAGGCAATCTCAGCCTGACTCCCAGGATCCTCTAAGTCTACTTTAACATATAAAAATTCCTTTAGAAATTTCCTTTATCTCTACCCCCCAAGATACTTGTTGGCGATCATCCCCCAAGCATATGGCTCACGGATACACATCTGAAGGGTCTCATGACTCAGGTTTTATTAGATGGTAAAAGTGACCTTGCCCCAACAAGAGCTAACCTCCTCAAGGTCCTGGAAACTTTGCTTCCAAAATTCCTTAGAGAGTACCTATCCCCAAACCCCTCCCAACTCCCACAGGCCTGGGGCAGCAGCTCTTCCTGTTCATGGGTCCTGTCCCCATGCTTTAATAAAACCACCATTTTGCACCAAAGACGTCTCAAGAATTCTTTGTTGGTTGTTGGCTCCGGACCTCACCCCACCAAACCTCACCTGTATTTCAAAACTTCATCACATGCATCCATCAACTGATGAGTGGATAAACAAAATGTGGTAAGTGTATGCAATGAATATTATTCAGGCCTGAAAAGGAAGGAAATTCTGCAATCTGCTACAACATAGATGAACCTTGAGGACATCATGCTAAGTAACTAAGCTACTGACAAAAAGATCATGTTTGACTCCACTTATATGAGGCACTCAGAGTAGTCAAAATCAGAAAGTTGGAAGGTATGACGCTGGTGGCCAGGGGGATTGGGGAGTTACTGTTTAACATGTAAAAAGTTTTGTTTTGTTTTTATTTGACAGAGAGTGAGCAAGAGTACAAGCCAGGGCAGGTGGAATAGAGAGAGAGGGAGAAACAGGACCCCCGATAGCAGGGAGCCTGATGTGGGCTCGATCTCAGGATCATGACCTGAATTGATGGCACATGCTTCACCAACTGAGCCACCCAGGTGCTCCTAACAGAAAGTTTTACAAGATGAATTCCCTTAAGACGCCTGGGTGGCTCAGCGGTTTAGCGCCTGCCTTCAGCCCAAGGCCTGATCCAGGAGTCCCGGGATTGTATCCAGCATCAGGCTCCCTGCATGGGGCCTGCTTCTCCCTCTGCCTGTGTCACTGCCTCTCTCTCTCTCTCTCTCTCTTTCATGAATAAGTAAACTAAAAAAAAAAAAAAAAAGAATTATTACAGGGGTCAATGGGAGTGTTGGCTGTACAACAATGTAAATTTATTTGATACTACTGATATACATACTTAAGAATGGTTAAGATGGTACATTGTTATGTATATTTTAACTCCAGAAAAAATGACCATCAAAAAAATAACATATAATGAGGTATATTCACACCACTGAATATTGCATTAAGTAAAAATGAATGAACTGCAGGGCACAGCATAAGTGGATCATATAGTGCTGAATGAAAAAGTGCCACAAAGGAGCATAAACAGAATGATGCCATTTACATAAAGTTGAAAGCAAACTAAAGTCTACTGAATACGGATGCATACAAGGGTGATAAAATTCCAAGTGAAAATAGGTAAGGAAGGATGACAACGATGACCCCTGCTGGTCCCCAATCTTGGCATGACCTCAATTACCTTGGGTTGGGAGGGGTGATTTAAAACCTACCCTCATCTGGGCCCCCCACCCAGAGGTTCGGATTTCACTATGTCTGCAGGGCTGGCCTTGGGCCTTCCCTTCCAAAGCTTCAACAGGAAGACAGAACTGAAGATGAAGATGCACCTCTAAGGTGAGGCAAGAGGGCTGTGATTGGGAGGGGCAAATGCATGGCCACTGGGGTGCTCTCAGTGGTTTCCTTGGCTGGGGTGGGAGTGTCACTGGTGTTAAATGTTTAAGTTACTGTATTATACATTTGTGTTACGCCCTAGCTGTAGAAGTCAGCTCCCCTCTTTCTCCACAGCATACACGTAGGTGTTCCAGGGCCCACAGCTCACAGCCCTTACTTGGAGTTGCTTGTCTACAAAGTATTCCACACGGCAGGGCCGATCCAAGCTTGTTGTGTCCTTGTGGCCAAGCTGTCCATATTTACCTAAAGTGAAACAAGCCCCTTGGCCATCCTCCCCAAAGGCCCCGGGAGCTTCTCCCCTCCAGGAAGGAAATTCAGCCCATCAACCAAAGTGCAGGGCTTAAGCCACCCCTCTGCTAGTGTCTGCTCTGGAAACTCAGGAGACCAGCACCACCGAGTCCTCATGGAGGCAAATGCCACCACCCACTCCAGGCAAGATACTCTTACAGGTTCTCTGCTCCTAATTCCAGACACTCAGAGATTTTTTTTCTACCCAGTGCCAGACCAACAGATGTGTCATAAATGCTGCCTTATTATTCCCTTAAGACAATTTTTTAGAAAGATAAATGGGAAGTAGTAGTATCTATTTCTCTCCTGTGTGGTTGCTGACCTTTGGTGTACTTAGATCTGTTCTAGACAAGGGAATACACAGCATTTCCGTCCCAGACTTGCCAGTGGTCAGACCCAGGCCCCAGCTTCCACCAGGCCCCTTCCTCTCCAGGTCTGAGCATCATACAAGCAAACCTTCTACTTACCCCAACCCCAGGTGTAGAGCTCCCCAGTTCCTAAAACCAGAAGGACAGGAAGGGGCTGTCATAAGGCGTTTGTCTAGCAGGCCTGCCATAACCCATAGCCAGCACCTTTTAAGTGTCCTGAGCCCTGCTGGCTCAGCACCACATACTGTCTAACAACTGATCACATCCGGGTAAAGGATCCAGATGCAGAAAGTTGACCTTCCTGTATGCCAACTGATTGGCCTGCATCTCCCAGCTACCAAGTTCGGGAGTCTGAGAAGCTGGACTGGGCAGGCCCCGGCATCAGAAGAAGCAAATACTAGCCTCCCTGCAGGAGAGACCTTCAGGGCCTAACAGCTAGGGAGCTACTGTGAGAGCCCCACTGGGGCTGGGCTGAGGGAGGCGGCTGAGGGAGGCGGCTGCTTATACTTGTCAAAGTCACAAAAGAACTTTTTAAGGTAATCACACTCTTCTCTGCAGCACCAGCCCAGGAATGGGGTGAAGGGACTCCTGCTCCATAGTGAGCCAGCCCGCCTGGCCCCACTCACCGGTTACCACCGCTGTGTGCCGGGATCCACAGCTGGCCTTGACTGCATCTGCGCCCAGGGGAAGATCCAGTAAAGCTGGGAAGGGCTGGATGGCTATGAAGGGGGCCGGGGCTCCATCCTCACCCCTGGCTGTTCTCTTCACTTCAGAGCCATCTTCGTTCAGTCCACTGGCTTCAGAGAAGCAGTAGTGAGGATGACAGTGACTGGTAACACGGAGCCCCGGCCAACACCTTAGCCACACAGTAACTCATCCCGCACAACAGTGGTGTCCAGTCCAAGATGACACTTCCCACCGGCATCAGCCCTGCCGTACTCCCATCCATCCCCACAGCCCAGAGTGCTGCGGTGGGTCCTGGGGTCCCAAAGATGTCACACGCCCCTTCAAAGCACTATAAGGTCTCAGGCCATCATATGGCCAGGAGTCAGGAAGGGCAGAAACACGTGTAGAACTGCCTCTCACCTTCCCTCGGAATCGTCTTTGTATCCTCTGCCAGGCTCCTGGAGGGCAGGGCCAGCTGCCCTGATTCGTTCCAGCCCCAGATATAAATATCCCCAGTCTCTGAAAAAAAGAGAAAAGGGACCCATTAAACAGACCATGAACAGCACCCCCACTGTCCTAAGCCCCTGGATCCATCCAAAGGCCCGTAGACCCACTAGCTCCCTAGGGACAACTAATGCCCGCTCTGTCCAGGTCAGTGGCCGCAGGCCCCCGCAGCTTTCTTGTCTCATAGGTTCCCTTTTCCCTCCAGTGCCTTCCGTCATCCTCTTTTTTAAACCAAATTTCTCGGACCTTCCCCTCCAGTTTCACTTTTTCCTTCTGTGGATAAATTGCCCCCTCCCCACCTCCCACGAGTGAACCGGCCTAACACCATCTTGGACAAACCTGCCATGACCACAGCTCTGAGACCTGAATGAAGCCTTCTTCAGTCAGAGACTGAATGAAGAAAGAACAACCCCCAGACATACCTCCTTTTTTAAAAACCACACACATAATAGCCCTTAGCATCCTCAGGGCATAAGATCCTGGGATCAGGAGATGGGAGTGACACAGAACTGCTCCCATTCTCCTCCTGCGTGGTTACTACCCCCCCCCCCCACCTCCTGCCCCAAGGACTCCCAGCCTACAGGACTATAAAGGCAGGTCTGAGGGAGGGAGGTGCAGGCACAGGTGTCAGGCTACATGTGGTTTTTGTATTTGTCTCCAGCTCCTTTGGAGAGCGTTTTGCATCAACTTCCCTTTCACGGCACACCCACCACACACTTCAGAAATGTACCCCCAGAAGTTCCTAAAGGCCTCCCTTTCAAGCCCACTGAGCCCACGACACCCCTTTCCTCAGGATCCCTCACTGGTCCATTTGAAGGCCCCTTCTAGCAGCTCTCAGCTTCCTTGCCTTGCACAACACTACATTTTGTTGGTTGGAGCAACGGTTCTCACGCAAAAATTCACTAATGACAGTAACTACTTTTTATCAAGTGTTTACTTTATGCCTGTGTTTTAAGCACTTTTCAAATAAAATCATTTAATTCTCCGAAGAACCCTACAGAGGGTTGTGGGAGGTTGTTTTACTCATGAGAAAACAGGAGGCACCGGGGAGGTTACATGCTTGGTCCAACCTGAGGGGCCAAGTGAGGATTTGAACCTTAAGAGTCTGCTCTGAAACGTCTGTGCTCCAAACACTACAGCAAACTTAAGACTTCACATTTCTTCCAACCTCGAGTGTGAGACTTCCCATCTGGCTCTCTTTAACCTTCTCCTCCCTTTCCTCCCTGTGGTTTTCAAGTCTGGCTGCCAACCCAGGTCCAATACGGAGGCTGGGGGGTGGGGGTGGTGCAGGCACACCTGTTTATAAAGCTGCCCCCCCACCTCCCCCCTTGCGGCATAGAAGTGGCAGCCAGAGCCCCAGCCACAGGCCCTCCGAAGACCCTCTGCTCCCAGCCCCAGCCCCAGCCAGCAGACTGGAAGCAGCCGCAGCTGGGTGGCCTGTGGGGACTGGTGACTAGATGCCAAGTGAAGGTCGGCATTCCGGGCTCACCCTCACCACCAGCCCCCTCCTGCGGCAGCTGAGTGTCCTGTGTGAGCCACACGTCCCTGCCACCTGCCCCACTGCACCCTTTCTTCTCGGTTCTCCTGGGCTCAGCTGCCCTCACCCCTTCAAGCGCCCTTGCGGAGTGTTTTAGAGCCTGGGCTGGAGGCCGAGGGTGGGACAGTAGGGAGCCCTCGGCGGAAGACGGCAGACAGCGAAGTGCCGTGGGAGTGGGTACCGGCCGGGCTGGTTGACGTGAGGTGAACCTGGAAGGAGGCCCGGCTAGGCTCCCTGCCACCAGGAGGGGAGAAGGGAGGAGGCTTGGGGCCTAGGAGGCCAAGGGTTTGTCCGCAGGGGCACGCGATCACTCACCGCTCACACACACCGAGTGCCAGCCGCCGGCGGCCACCTCCGCCACGGGGAGGCCCTGCAGCGCCTCCAGCAGCCTCGGCTCCGGCTCGGCCTCCAGACTCCCGTGGCCCAGCTGTCCGTGCCTGAGCGAGGGAGGCCCCAGCACGTCTCCCTCCGGCCTCCCCCGGGCGGTCCTCTCGCCCGCCCCCTCGGCGCCACGTTACCGGCCGGCCCCAGCCCTCCCCACCCCCTCACCTGCCCTGGCCCCAGGAGAACACCTGGCCCGCCTCGTCCAGCAGCAGCGCGTGCTCGGCGCCCAGCTCCAGCCGGCGCGCCCGCAGCTCCGGGGCCAGAGCGCGGCAGAAGGGCGGCCGCGGGCTCACGTAGGCGCGCGCGCCGGGCAGCAGGGGCAGCAGGGGCAGCGCGCCCGCCGGGGGCTCGCCGCGCGCCGCGTCTTCCGCCTCGGCCTCCGGCCCCAGGGCGCGGGCCCACAGGGGCTCCCCGCGCATCGCCGAAGCCGGCGCCCAGGCCTGCAGCTCCGGCCCGGCCCCGCGCCCCGGCCCCGCGCGCAGCACCACGAGGAGCGTCTCCGAGGCCCACGCGTCACTGCAGCCGCCCGCCGCGCCGCCCGCCGCGCCCGACAGCCGGACCTGGCCTCCACCTGCGGGGCGGGGGGGCGGAGAGCGGGCTGGGGAGCGGGCGCGCCTGGCACGCGGGGCCCGGGGCGGAGGAGGGCCGGAGGGGGGCGCTCACGGGTCACGAGGGCGGTGTAGCTCCAACTGGCACTCACGCGGCGGACGTCGGCGCCGGAGCCGGGGGTCTGCAGCGGCTCGGGGCTGAGCACTTGGCGCCCGCGCCCGGAGCCCGGCGCCTGCCCGAAGCCGCAGAAACCGAAGCCGAACCAGGACCCGCGGCGCTCCTCGGCCATGCCCGGGCCGCGCGCTCTGCTGGCTGCCACCTGAACGGGGCGGGGGGCGGGGGCAGGGTTAGGCATCCCACCAGACTCAGGACGAGTCTGGGCTGCCTAAACGGGGGCATCTGCCCCGTCCTCCCTCGGACTCAGGCAAGCTCCTTGGTCCACAGAGGAGGCGCCGGCTGGGTAAGCCGCCCTGCCCTCAGCCGCCGTCCTAGGATTTGAGCCCCTCCAGCTCCCCGTGTCAGGCACGTTATCTCAGGTCATCTGGGGAACCGGGATTACCCCCATTTGGCAGAGAGCACTCCCAGAGAAAGTAACCCTTATGCCATCACACTACTTAGGTCCAAGAGGGGCGGGGGGCTGAAATCTGGGCCACCGACTCCACGTACAGTGCTCTTCCCTCCCGCGCAAAGCAGAGCGTTTGGGAGCCAGGGGCCGGGCGGGGTCCACGTTTTTGCCTCTGCAGGTGGTGGTGCCTGTGTCCTTGGTCCGGTCACTTAAGCTCTGAGTCCTGTTCACGTCGTTCAGTGCTGCAAAGGCTGGGGAGAGGGGAGGGGGCCGTCTACTCTGTAGAACCGCGTGCAGCAGAGGGAAGCAGACGGTTCACACACCGGCGCACAGCGCGAGAGGCGCGAGGTGAGTGCTGCCTTGTGAAAGCCAGCACCTAGAGTTGATTTTTAAAAGTCCGATGGGACTTACTGGTTTTCAAGGGACCTCACCTAATCATCGATTCGTTCTACAAGCATTTGTCGATGCCGTACCGTCTGTCCCCCCGGGGCTCACACATAAATGGGGAGACAAATGCACAGCCCAGTGGCTACAAAAGCAACGCCGCTTTCTCCGTGCAGCGTCCGGCTTTGAAGTCAGACACGGGGTCCCTCCTGCGGCCAAGGAGCCGTGACCGAGATCTGGGCTCCTAACCCCTTTCGCGTCGGGTCCCAACCCCAGGGGCCCTCTGACCTTGACCCTGTGCCCTCTACCCTCCTCGGGCAGCTGCTCCAGACGGGTAGTCACGAAGGAGGAAAAGCGGGGACGCGGAGCAGCGGCCCAGGAATCGGCGGGAGGCCGCCGCGGAGTAAAGATTTGCAGAGCCGCGCCGGGTGCCAGGCGCCCATTTGCTGCTGCGGCCCGCCCTGGGCCAATCGCCCGCGAGGGCGGTGACGTCACCGCTCGGGGCGGGGGGGGGGGGCGCAGGGCCGTGCTCAGCAGGGTGCCCGCAGCTCCGCCGCGGCCTCTCCCGCCCGAGCTCAGTCGAGCCGGCCCCGGGGCGTGGGCTGGGCCGCTGCAGCCTCGGCCGTGAGGTAACCTCCGGTGGGCGCGGGCCCGAAGCAGGGCTTGGACCGGACGTGGCCGCGGAGCTTGGGTTGGAATCCGAGCCGCACGGCTGGCGAGGAGCGACTGCGGAGAGACGAGCACCCCGCCGTCCCCCGCAGCCCGCGACGGCCGCAGCTCACGACCCACACTGGGGGCCGATGCCCAACCGGAAGCCGCCGTGCTAGGCGGGCCGGTCGGCGAGTCTGGCCTTCCATTGGCTCGGGACCTGTCACGCGTGCCCGCGAGCCAATGAACTTCGACCTGGGCTCCGCGAGCGAAGGCCCGCCTCCCGGCCCCGGCCCTGGGCGGTGGGGGAGCTCGCGCTCTCGCCTGGCTGCGCTACGGAGGCTTTCCGTGAGGGAAGGGAAAGCCCTGGCACACCAGCCTCAAACGCAGGGCACCGCCTGAGTGGAGGCCACTGGGAACTCTCATATGAAGATGAAAGTAGGGGCGCCGGGGAGGCCCAGCCCCTTGGGAGCCGGCCTTCCGCCCAGGTCATGAACCCAGGTCCCGGATATCAAGCCCCGCATCGGGCTCCCTGCAGGGCGGGGAGCCTGCTACTCCCTCTCCGCCAGTGCCCCTGCTTGTGCTCGCTCTCCCAAATAAAATCTTAAAAAAAAAAGGCGAACCAGCATCTAGGAGTCCAAACCCATTTATTCCCATGCGACTGAATAGATTATTAGCTTCCTAGGTTTACCCCTGATCCTCCAACAGAAGTAAAAGCACTCAGCAGGCTCCAGGGTGAGGAATCCATTGGATTCCTTCTGTAGAGGTGGCTGTGCTGTGCTGTATAGCTCTGCTGTGCACTCAGGCCCGGCTCCTGCTCCAGAGCACGGACCGTGGGAAATGCTCCTGCCTAGGGACAGGGTGTCCTGCTCACAGGCTTAGGCGAAGCTCCTATAGCTGGTGAGAGTGCGTGATGGGCCCTTCCCAATGCTGGGAATGCACAGGGACATTAGGATGCACCTTCCCTGTTCCCAGCTGTCTACGGTGGTACAGGAGGGGGTCCTGCTGTGTGAGGCTGGAGGCAGTGCTGGCAGAGCAGGGCCGTGACTGACCATGGTCCCGGGTTCAGCAGAGGACACTTAGGGGCAGCTACGGGGGAGAGGCCAGTGTTCAGCAGCCCAGTGCCTGGTAGCCAAAGCTCTTTAAGTCCTCACTCCTCTTGCTAGCGTGTGCATGAGGCAGCCCCTCCCTCTCCGTCCTGGTTGGGTTTGATGAGCCCGTATTCCACCGCTTTCGCCAGGCAAGCCGCAGCAGCTCTTGTGACAGGGCTCTCCTTGCCCTTAGCCAGCACTGACAGGATCTCCAGCACCTCGCTCTCCATGAGGGTGCCGGCAATTTCCTTGGAGGCCTCCACCATGTTCAGTGCCACCACCGTGCCCCGGTGTTGCAGCTCCTGGTTGGGGCTCAGAAGCAAGGCTTGCAGGATCTCCAGCCAGTGTGTAGTCTGTGGGTTAACAGAGCAGTGTCACCACTGAGCAACAGGCTCAGACCTGGCAGGAACACACTCGTGTGCCCTGGGATGCTCCCACCCCCCAGCCGCCACTGTGCAGGGAGTTCCCGGCCCATGTCCCCTCCTCCACCGAGAAAAGGCACTGACCACTTCGGGGATGCGGCTGCAGAGTGAGGGTCGCATGGAGGTGAGCATGGCCAGGCCCCCAGCAGCCGCCCGCCGCAGCAGCTCATCATCCTCTCCACTGTACAGCACCAACAGCTTCAGCCGGTCGTTGCCCTTAGCTTCAAAGAGGTCCTGTACCTGTGGCCAGATGAGGGGAGGGGACTGGGTGAGCTGTGGCACAGCCGGGCGGGGCACAGGTACTTCTGTGCGCCTGCCCATCACGACCACTCGCCCTCACCTCCTTGCTCATAGCTAGGTTACACATGCACTCCGTGGCTGCCCGGCGGATCATCTCGTGCTCCTCGAACATATAGCCCTCAATCATCGGCACAGCCTTCTCCTTCAGGATCTTCTGCCTGCAGGGCCAGGGTGGAAAGGCAGCACCTCAGAGCTCCTGCGTCCACCCCCTACCCTGCATCCCCACACAATCGAGCCCCATGTCAAGGAGCCCTCCGGCAGCAACCAAAGACCCTCCAGTACCAGGTAAGAAGTACAGCGGTTTGCAGCAGGCCTAGGAGATAGCACGGGACTGTGGGAAATGCTCTAGGGTAGGAGTTTGGGGACCGGGAGGGCAGGTGACAGTGATGCTAACATGTAACTTTGAAGCACTTACTCTGACACAGGACTTGGTACTGTCTACCTTAATCATCACAGCCCTACGACGAAGGTACAGGTCCACTTACTCTGACTACTTTGCAAATAAGAAACCAAGGCCAAATGGATAAAGAGCCCAGTGTCACCATGAGCACTTGGACACACTCCTGGGAGCCTGGTGCCATGTACTCGGTGCTTCTGCATGTATTTTCTCATTTAACACTCACTACCACTCCTGAAGAAGGTATGATACCCATCCGATCCACAGAGGGGAAACTGAGGCACAGAGCAGCACCTGTTTGCAGTTACACACTAGCAACCAGTGAAGTCAGGGTCTAAAGCCAGGAGGTCTGACTCCAGGGCTTGCACTGTCAGCGTCCCAAGCCTGCCTGCTGTGGACTGCAGTACAAGTCAAATGTCCCGGGCTGTCTCCCTGGCTCTGGGACACAGGGAAATCCCTGTGAGCCTCAAATCAAGCAGGGACCAAAAGGTGATCTTCACACTGTAAAGCACTGTCCTGAGGATGATGATCTAAACCCTCATGCCCTTGCTGCCCTGGTCTTGTGTCCTCAGGGACCTCACCGGAGCCTCTCGCTGATCCCCGCCAGGTTCGTGAGAGCCATGAGTGCCTCGAAGTTCTGCAGGCCTGAGCAGTTGAGGTGCAGCAGGGAGACGAGAGGCCGGACCACCTCATAGATCTGTAATACACCCGCCTGTCAGGGCTCCTCACCCCGGCCCCCCCGAGCCCTGCCAACCCGAAGTTGAGAGGTCACCCTCTCCCCACCCAAGGGCTCAGCAAAGCCACTTCCTGTCAGTCCCAAGAAGGAGCCACCAGCACAGGTCAGAGGGATGGAGAGGCCAGGGCTGGGGCAGCAGGACACGTACCCGCTCACCAGGAAAAGTCATCTCTGGGTTGGAAGTGATGGTGAGCTTGGCAAGAGCCTGGGCTGCCTTTGTTTGCCCCACGTCAGTGCCTTCCAGGGCCAGCGGGAGCAGAGCCTGTGGGGACAAGCCGTCAGTGCCTGATGTAGTCCTAGAGGGTGAGGCCCAAACCACCAGTCCCTGAGTCCTGACAGTGGCATTCTCTCACCTTTCTCCTCCCCAAGGCCTGACGACACTCTCTGTCCAGACTCTCTTCCTCTCTCCCAGGCCTATCCTCAAGCTGCTCAAACTTCTGGAAACACTTACTAGGGGCCAGCCATGGCTTGTGCTGGGCCCTGGGCCACACAGGTCAGTGACACAGGAGAAAGGAGAGCTTAGGATCTTGCTGGACACAAACCCGCCCCCGTTAGCATCACTCATTCAGCAGGAACAGTTCTGCAGGGCCCTCCTGCTATTTTCCGGCCTCACCGCCAGCGCAACAGCCACTGAGTCACCTTTATAGCCCATCAGGAGGGAGTCTGTAAGCCAGCTTACCTTACCCCCACCTTGAGCCACCACAGTGCCACGGTCCTCTACCTCATCCACCAAAGCCAGGAAGACCCTGTGGGGAGAGGGTGCAGGTGGGCATGCAGATACCCTGTGTCTGGACTCAGAGACCGCTAGCAGCTACGTAGGTGGCCCCCCAGCTCCAAGAGGCCCAGAGCCACAGGACAATCCCCTCTGCAGTTACCTCAGCAGCCTCAAGCCTTCAGGGTTAGAGAAGGTCTGGCTGTGCTGAGGCAGGCTCACCTAGAGAGCAGCTCCCGGCAGGAATTGGTCAGCACGGGGCTCTCGGTCTTCACCATGCATGTCATGGCTGACACCACGCCCGCCGCCAGCAGCTTCTTCACCCGAGCCCGCACGAAACCCGGTTTGTCCTGGGAAGGAGGCAGCTAAGCCAAGCGGCCCTGGCTGACCAGACAGGAAAAGGGGGACCCTCCTCATGGCACAAACTGATGGACAGGAGGCTGCTGCAGATGCCCTAGGTCAGGGGTCTGAAAGCCACAGAGGCCCCCATGCCCTCTCGGAGGCTTCCTCACCTTGGGATGCTGCTCAGGCACATGCTGCTTGGCGTACTTGGCCAGCTCCACCATCTTAGGGTCCGGCTCCTCATAATCATAGCTGTTGGTGCAATTCACGAGCGCCGAGGCCACCGCAAAGAGCACTGATCTCTCCTCAGACTGCAGGGTGCAGAGGGGCAGTAAAGGGGTCAGCCGGGGGCAGAGCAGTGTGGGACACGTGCTGCCCAGGCCTCCCACTCTGCCCTCTTTGGAACCAGCTGGGCACCAGGATGGATGTGGCAAGCTCCCAGCACCCCCTGGCCCCAGACCCTGGGAGCTCACCACCCGACCTCCCTGATTCCTCCAAAGATGCTGTTCTGCCCGATGCTGCTACTATCGCCCTAGAGGCCCCTGCCACAGAGTGGCCACGTGGGCTGCTAGCCCTCCTGCCTAGGGGCCACGGAGTCATTGCCCGAGACCTGCCAAAAAAGTCTGGTACATTCTAATCCTAGACTGTTCCCCAATGATGATAGCAACCCACAGGGCTACCCTGCTGAGCTGGAACAAAGCCTTCAGGGCGGCCTCATCCTCCACAAACTCTTCCTTCACATCCGCGTCGAAGGTGAGGTAGGCCAGGCCCTCCACTGCCCAGCGCCGTGTGCCTGTGTCAATCTGGTCATTGCATAGCCACCTAGGAACATGCAGGGTAGGAGACAACCATCAGAACTCGGGGGGGGAGGGGGGAGGCAGGGGGGAGAAAACGCCACAGGTTTAAGCATCCCCTCCACACACGCAGTTCACATGGCAGGATCCAGGAGGGCCTGCCTGGGGGAAATCAGGGTGGCGAGGAGGCCCCATCCTCCACCCAGACCTCCTCTGGAGGCCCAGCTGACAGGTGTGCAGCCACAGCAACACCAAATAACTCACTTTCGACACTGCTTTGCCAGTTTGAGAGTGGAGCCTTCAGCAAACTGCTTCATGCTGAAGTCTGTCCCTCCAGCCGAGCCAAGCTTACACAGGCCCTGGAAAAAGAGGTGAGAACCA